CTATCTATCTCCGTCCTCGCTAATATATAACTCAGCTGATGTAGGCTATAAGTATTATATATACATGTAAAATTATTATAGCTACATCTCAACATTAATTTATTTAATTATTTKTAGTATATTTTATATTAATTTTCTTAGATTTTTACGCTTGAGTCAAGTAAATAGGTAAGAATTTAATATCTGGTTAAAATGTCCGCGGACACTTATTTATGTGTCCATAATTTTATTATTTTTAAATGTTTTGACCTACCTATTTACAAATTATTACTACAAAGTATTTGCGACAAAAAATACTAAATTGAGAAACCTCTACCTATATTAATAACCAACTATCTACATTTCTTTTTCGTGTATACCTGCCCATGTAAAAAAATGTAAAACGACAATTTGTCATGTACAATCAATATAGTAGGTATACCATACCTTCCGATCGCTAAGTGCGATTTATGATCTCGTATAGCATCCCATGTATGTTATATAATATATACTAGATACTATACTATATACATAGGTGTAGGTATCATATATAAATTGTAAATAATATAATAGTATCTACAATATATTGTGTGATTAGTTGATTAGTACAACAGGGATGTTATTATTGTATAGGTACCTATGTAGTATGTATAATCATAGGCGTGCACAGGGGGAGTGCCGGGTATGCCATGGCATCCCCTGCAGTCTGCTCAGCTAGCTTGTTTTATGTTTTTACTTTTAATAGTGAAAACCATTAATATTATCATAATTTTTATCACAAAYATAACAGAGAGTTTTGTAGTTATGTATTATATTTTTTTAGAAAAAAATTCTGATTTGTTTTTTTTTTTTTTTTTTAAGAGAGTTAAAAATTGAGTTATTTTGAATTATATTGGCATCTCCTGCGAATAAAGACTGCGCACGCCTATATGTATAATATTATTTGAGCCTCTTCAGTGGAGTTGAACCGGTTCATGGACAGTGAATCACGGTTATTAGTACCTATGAAATTTATCAATATGAGTAAATGATGTCTATTATGAGACATAAGTTATGGCTCAAGAACAGATTTTTAGGTTTTTAAAAGCTTAAAATATGATGCCAAAATGTTCTAAATAAAAACC